CAAGCTGGGTTGCTGTGAATTATAGACTTAACTGTGAAAGCGTACTGAAGGATCGCTTAAGAGGTGTGGCAAATCCGACTGAGGCTCATGCTTTTGGCAGTGAGCTTTCGCATGGACCTCAGATTCGTCAGATTGTACGGGAGGTTGTCCGACCGATATATTCATCGAACAGAGTGGTCCACACTGACAATTTATACACCTCCGTGTAAATATTACGAGCCCTGAAGCTAAAGGGTCTGTTTGGACGAGGAACGGTTCGTGGATCGAGCAAAAACTTTCCAAAGCAAGTGATGTGGGAAAAAAAATTCGAGTACAAGAGGCGAGTACCGCCAGGGAGTGTCCGTGTACTACCAATTACTTGCAGCATCTTGGTGTGACGGAAGTATTGTTAGTATTGTATCTAACGCTGATGCCTCGGAAGCAACCACTGTTCAACGTCTGGTCTCCAGTGAGGGTCAAACATTCGAGGCCGCAACGTGTGCGAGGAACTACAACACATATATGCCGGGGGTCGATCGGTTGGATCAACTTCGCGCTCGATTTCTATTGCGGATGGCCATTCATTCCAAAAGTGGGACAAAAAGCTAGCAATGGCTCTGGTTGATGTCGCCCGATGCAATGCATACCTGACTCGGTGAATGGTGTACACCCCCTCCAATATTTGCGATTCGCACTGTAGCTTCATGATGGAGTTGGTAATGCAACTTATCTCGGGGAAATAGTCAGATGCACCAAGTGAGGCTAGAATCCTGTATTCCAACACCAATGCTACGTCTGTGGAGATACAGGTACCAGCACCAATAAGCCCCGCGTATGTACGAGGCTCGCCGTTCGACAACCCAAACAAAAAAACTTGCACAGCAGTCGAGTCTAAGCAGTTCTTCAGTGACTCAAATCGCAAATGTCGTCACTGCATTGTCTGCCGGTGGGAAGGCAGGTATCTAACCGAAGTGACGGGCTATTGCATTATTGACGCGGTTTGTCTGTGCAAAGGCTATTTTGACTCCGAGCCAGCACCATACATGTGGCCTCTAGCAGCATGGACGTGCTGGGTGAAATATCACCGGTTTTATCTCCAGAAGCAAGTATTCTCTGCGAAAGGACGGTTGCGGAAGACATCTCAACTATATCAACTCAAACTGAGTTTACAGTAGCAGCTCAAGCAGCTCGTGAGCAAGGTAGATCTGTTGTGAG